TAAGTCATTGACCCTTTTCTTTGTAGTGCATTACAATATCTTTGATAACAATAAATCCATTACATGTATTATTAAACATGGATTAAAAAACTAAAAACTAAACCCTCAAGCAATAACTCACAATTGAGAATTTGATTCTTAATTATTTGTTTGAAATGAAACCATTAAAGCAAGCAAACATTTTTGGTGTTACATTCATTAAACATGTATTAATTGTAATACATTTCTTCACATCAACAGACTCATATTTGCATATTATTAATGTCTAATGAAAAACGATATCAGTACCATATCAGATAATCTTCCTCAATAATGTAGTGCTGCCATCTACTGATTATGATACCAACTGATCCATAAATGGTCATATTTTGAACGTGTTCAGAAGTGAACTTAAAACTCTCATTGAGATCTGAGCAGTGTTGTCTTTCAGCATTCATCTGAAAAAATCTGCTCCCAGTCAGGAAACGTACTATTTCCAAAAAGGATGTCATACTGCACCAATTGCATTTTTCTGTCAGCAGTTTGCAAGCCAGCATGTTTTTTTGCCTTTTCTGAACCACAATCCTGTGTACAGCAGATACATGAGCAAGGCAGTCAAAGTTTGAGATGTGATGACAAAATAGTCTTGTAAGGGCAGCTGCAGTATTAAAGGTAAAAAAGAATGCGTCTCTGTTGTTGGCCTGTAACACTACTGTGGTGTTAATGTGGCTAACCAGTCACTAGATGGCCCCGTTGGTGAAGAAGTAGACTTCTGCAATAGTTTTGACAAATACAAAAGAGCATGTTTAAAAACGTCATAGTATTTAAAAAATAAACAGAAAAACAATGCAAACTAATTAGGATTTTCAGACATATGATATGTTTTTTATTGGTTTTGTTCAGGATTCTGAAATCTATATTACGTAATATAGCACAATTTTTGTATTAATCTACATGAGGAATCCCACTGTTACTGTTGTATTTAGAATTTTGACTGCTATAAAATAAGATTAAGCCACAAAATAACAAAATATTTTTAAATATTGGTGTTACCACACTATAGAACGAGGAGTGGGGAAGAAACATGAAGAAACTTGGAGACAGATGAGATATTCCCAGAGAGCATGGATAGCTTACATTATTCAGTGGGAAGAGGGCGACATTGTTTAGAAAATGAGTTTTCTTTGTAGGAGGGAGGAGAGTTGGTGCTCTGTTGAACCAGAGGAGAAATATATGAAGGTCAGATGGCAGAGGAGAGCTGAGCGGCACGGCCCACTGCAGATCTCCTTTCTGCATCTCTATCCTGAAGGTGTGGATTGTGTGAGACCTTTTGCCTTAGGTTCCCTCTGTTGTATAATTCACTGGCCTTTACTTCTCCAGCATAGTACTGTACTATGCTTATAATATTATAATTATTTATTTGTTTCCCTTAGCTTTTCCTTCTAACTTAAGTGTTGAAAATGCCTTCAAAGACCACGATAACTGGGTATTTTGATAACGCTAAATCTCGTAAAAAATGTGTAGTAATGTGTTTAAAAATCTATACATACATCTTTAACATCCAATATTTTTGGAGACTAGCAGACATGTAAAGTTTAAAAAGAATAACAGTAACTCAAATATTCTAACGTATTCATTAAACTGAAATAGTAAATTCCAAGATTTGAAGTTGTAATAACAATATCTAAACTTGTAGTAAAAGTAAAACAAATAAATTAAGGGTTGTCAATTTTTTTATTTTATGAATAGTTGTGGTCCTCGTACATTTTCTATCAAGGAAGTATACTTGCTTTGTAAATTGTTAGGAAATACCATTGTCTTTTTTTTACGACATTGTTACCAGTTAAGTTAAAATTGAGACATATTTTTTCAAATGTCATTTTTGTTTTCCATGACATATTTCTTTCAATGTGATACTTTGATCACCTTCAAATGTCAGAACTCACTTTGCCAATTGGAACCAATTTACTCCAAACAGTAAGGTGCTCTCGGTTAATGTACAATACTTGTTTCTCTTATAGTACGTTTTACCTATATTAGAGCTCTAAAAAAGGTAATTTAATTAGCACAAATTACAATATCTGAATCAGCTATAATGAATGAGGTTAAGATTATTGGTTGATATGCTTTTAATCCATGCTGTGTCAGCTGATTTTACAGTTTAATATATAAACAAGAATAATATCATAAACAGAATAATAAAAAACAAACAAATAAAAAAAACCATGTTTCACAATATATAATATAAGAATGATTTATAGAGTGGAGTGATTGCGATTGTTTAAGATTGAAGTATTTAGTATGTAAATCTAAAATAAACCAATTTGTAAAATATCCATTCTTCTAAACATCTCATAGGTTTATAAACACATAAACAAACATGCCCATTGCCCACACATTGACACACCTGGTTCCACACAGTTTTTCTTCCATAGACTAATTGATTCTCATTTTAATTATATTGACCGAGACTCTGTCTCTCCTCTTCACTGACAACAAAACCAGCGCAGGCTGGCAGTCTGCCTCTCACACTGTGAGGATGACACCTCTGTCTCCTTACAGAGGAACTAGTCAACAATCCACTTTGATGTCACTCCCCCCGTAAAGGAAAGGTCAAAATAATAAATGTAGGCCCAATTGATGGGTTGGCAGGGGGGCGCGGGGGGGGTTCAGTGCTGATTTTTGGACGAGTGCTCCCCTAAAGGCATAATGAATTCATACAGTCAGGCACGGCCAAAGAGGAAAACAGCATGGGGCCTCTTTCCATGAAAAGGTTGATCTAAATCTGCAGACGAGTCTGGCTTCTTCTTCCCACTCATTCTTCACACACATTACTCTTTTCTCTCACTCTCAAACACTGGTCTGTCTCACACTCACATGCACACAAGTATAAATACTCCAAAAATATCTCTGTCTTTTACTTCTCTTTGACACACACCTATGCATTATGCATCACCTCCTCCTTACCTCACTGACAGAGGTGAACCACATCCCCTTGGAACAAAAAACTCTCAGTTAGCTGCTCCACCTAACGCCTCCTCACAGCAAGACAACTTTGAATAAAGAGACAATAACCCAGTAATACACAAATTCTTGAATATGCCTTTGAAGATTACTCAGGTCACCAGGGTCGCGGGATATCTGATATAGGTCAAAGGCAACTGAGCTACACGATGCCTGATAGCCGTCCGTACATTGTCACAAATTCATGTTTTTAAAGTGAGGTTAAGATCCCAACTTTCACAAACCGAAATATTGGCAGGCTGAATTACAACTTGTATCTAAAAGTTTCACTTTTACAAATTTGCAGCAGCTTTGGCGAGATTATTTCACTCAGATGAAGCAGTTTGTGCTGAATTATCTATCTTTCACTTAAGTTAAAGAAGCAATAACCCAATGTAAAATTCTCTATTATTAGCAAAGTACTAATTTCTTAATGGTATACTTCGGGAAAGATACCACGGTATATGAAGCAATATAAGAATCAAATGCTTCCTATGCGGAATGGACCCTTATAGAGAGTTCTATCATATTGTTGCAATATTTTTAGTAATGCACAAATATGTAGGTAGAATTGTATTGTTAATTTTTAACATACTTACATTGTTGGAGGGTTAAAATTACATTTCACAAGTTAATAAATATTTTGTACAATCTAAAATTGTAACATAGCCAGGGCAACACATTATTTCAAGTCCCCTGCATGTATTAGCAGTATAATAATTGGTTTATCAGACACTATAATGTAGTGGTAAGCAGATATAAATGATAGGCGTGGAGGCTGTTGCCAAGGATTGTACATTAATAAACAAAATGCACTTAAAAACACACTTTGGTTTGTTTTAGACTATTTGTTAACTGTATCATTATGATTGTTAAATAGAGGGCCTTACAGTGTTATCATAAAGCTATCAAATAAATGTTGTGTGGGAAAGCACAAACATTTGCAAACAGAGATGTGGCATAGAAGAGAACAGTGTCTACTTAAATGCTGCTACTCATTTTTTAGACATGGATCAGTACTTAGTTGCCTTTATTTTTATTTAAATGTGTTATGTACTGCTTTTTCGGTACCACTTTACAATAAGACTACCCTTATAAAGGATGCATAAAGGGTTTCTAATTAGGTTATAATTAGGTTGTAAACACTTTATTTATCATTAAGAACCATTTATAAACCAGTTCTAACATAGTTTTCATACATCAACACAGGCTCATTATTTGGCAAGACGACTAAGCCTTACTTAGCGAGAATCACCTCAGTGAACAACAGATACCAAGGATGCTGGCTGAAGAAGACGAAGTAAGCTAAGCCAATATAAGGCTTAGCAGTACAGATAAATGTGGGCTCACTATTTGGCAAGCAACCGGTCACAGTTGCCCTGTTTATCTCATGTCTTGTAAAAGCTTATTAATGATTATAAAGTGTTCACAACCTAATCAATCAATGAATTACAAACTATTCGCAAACCCTCTAATCTTATAGTAAAGTGGTATCGCTTTTTCTCTATATTTAACATGTTAGCATATTTTATTATTGCTTGCCTTATATCTTCTATATGTCACTTTTGTTGGAATGCTGTACATTTCCCCACTGTATAAAGGCTAACTTGCATTTTAATGATCCAGTCAGCCCTTTTAACAAAGAAACCTTTAGTAAGCAAAACAAATATAGCCTTTTTGTTAAACCAAAGTAAGCAGAAGTTGTGGCATGTGTCCTTTTTTTATTTGGTTGACCGACCATACATTATTAGCATAAACAATTATTATTATTATAGCACCATTTTAATGTTGTTTTGTAACTTATAATTGCGTCATTGGCTTGATCCTATCACTTTTCATGTGAACACACATTACAATAGGCTATGTGCTTAAACTCTTTGCAGCTATTTAATAACTGGTTTATAAAATGTGTTTTCGCACCGTAATATATACAGTCTAACTGCATTAATAACACACATTACACCGAGATATGATTATTTCCCACGGACAAAGACGCAATTTCCTGCTCAGCCACAGTCCCTGTGAGTCGCGTGAAGATGCGCATTCAGAGCTGTTTCCACCGGAGCACCGAGCAGCGCGAGGCGGAACTACGTGCGCAGTCCTGCCGTGAATCACACATCACCACGGCAACCGGCGGTCACACCAAGTCCCCGTCAGCATCACCGGGGTCCGATCACATCCAGAGCCCACCGGAGAGCACAGGACACACAGTAAGTTTATATTATATTTCATAAATCAATGTTTCTGAGTGCGTATACGTTTATTTGCGTATCAAACACACGTGTTTGCGGGTCCAGAGAGCGTGCACTGCTGCAGTAAACCTCCCGATAGGAGAGCTGTTTCTACATGACGTGATTTAGTGCAGGTGATTCATGAATTTTCATCTGCTTTAGTGAATGAATGGAAAAACATAGCATCAGGTTAAATATAAGGCTGTATTTCTCTGTGGCAGGCGGAATTGTGTTGTAATAGGCGCTCCACGTTGAGGCTTCAGATAAATAGCCTACGCATGTATTGTCCTTTTTGCTTTAGACTACATATGCATTATGTCAGCAACTCATCAAACATGCCTTTTATATCGTTCAAGACTTAATATATAGAACATTTACAGTGGGTGATTGAAGATCGTAAAAGTATGCAGCTGGACAAATATGTAATTAATATCTATAGGCCCTAATTATATCGTAGCCTATATTTGTATCAACCTTCCATATTTCCTGTGCTGCTGCTACATCTCTGCTTCCTGATTCCTGGTTACACAGCCTGTACATCTTGTTGCAGCAGTCTTCAATGCAGCAAGTTCAGATATGCATGACCAGTGAACCCTGAATAACTTGAAAGACATAGACAGCCCACTCTTACTTATTCATAACACAGTACGTCTTCACCTTTAGATACCTCTCTCCCCCCTGCCCTGTTTTTAGCTCCTAAACATATGCCATAATCATGCCATCATTTGAATATTAACAGGATTTTACTAATCTGTATTTAAAATATGTAATTTTTCTTATTTTCTGGACTAATTTCCTGTGTGTGGGAGCACTGAGTGTCTGACAGCCGGCTCATTTGTTAATCACAGATTCAGGATGATTCACAATACCCACACTTCCCTCCAACTGTGGAGAGGAAAAACGGTGGTCACCACAGATGACCACTTAAGCCACCCACACAAGGACACACCAAGCAGTACTGTAGTGTTGAATCATTTTCTCACTTAGCATCCTTTTGGTCACTTGACAAAAGCTGCTCTTTAACTTCTTGAAAATGAAAAAATATGAACAAATTCTGAATCAGAGAATACGCCTTCATCATTTACGCCATTCTGAATTATTCTCTTATAATCATTTAGAATGTCTTATTATCAACCATGTAATAATGGGTAGTAACCTGGATAATAGTTAGATTTTAAACTCCAAATTTCCAGAATCAAATTTGTTAATTTGGTTTACGCGTTTCCAGTTCATGACAACATACTTCCTTCATTAGCAGATCATTTATTTACATTGGTTGTGTCTGGAGTCCTTAGTTAATGATCCTGTATCTCCTTTGTAACAAACACATTTCCTGTGCATCAGGGATGTCTCCCGCAGCATAAACTGTAGCACTTTGCCTCCCGGTGAGTGGATCATCATTGTGAGTCACCGGCGTCAGTGGGGCCTGTGGGGTCCTTGGCTGTGGGAAGGTGTTGTGTTGCACTGTGTGAATGAGATAAGTGGATCCTCTCCTCTCCTCTCCACATTTAGGTGATCAGTTGATCGAGAGAAAATATAAATATTATCAGCACATAGAGGCGTTCAGTGCCGTGTTGGTGGAGCGCTAGATTTACACATTGATTTTGAAACTCTAGATACAAGTTTTTAGAAGAGAGATTGGGCTGAAGTTTACAAAATAAATAATTCACAGTGGTTATGAAACATGTTAACTTTAAATGGTTGGATTGTATAGCAGGAGAGCATATGGTTGAAAATAGAAATCTTTGAAGTTGTTTTTGTTCTCCACTTAGTTATAATTTTACTTAGCATAACCTCACTCAATTACGCAGTTATTAAGGGTGATATCATACCCTTTTTTTAAGGTTAATACAGGTATTTTGGGTTTCTACTTCAACATGTTTACAAGGAATGCTTTGACATTTTAGGTCATATAACCCTTATTTTGTTGCTAAAAGTGAGAAGAGAGCTCTATATTGTTATCATATCTTTACAATATGAAGCTACTGCAAGAAGCTAGTAACTTAGCTTAGCATAAAGACTTTAAACAGCTAGCCTAGCTCAGTCCAAACTTAACTACATCCACTTACAAACACCTCTCATATAGATGTTGTACTGTAAAATCACATGTGGTGGTTTTACAGTGGGTTTTCTGCTGGACAATGTAATGGCTCTCAGCAGTTGCCAGGCAACGATTCAAGACCCCAGGAGGTCGCAGCTTCCAGCCAACAAATAATCCAGAACATAACCGAACAGCAAACTGTTGTTTTTACTATTTATATGTATTGATAGTGTTTTATTTGCTTTACCTAACTAAAAACATAACGTCTATAGTTATGCGGGTGGTTCTGTGAGGCTGTACTTCAGCACAGTTGTGCTTTGTGTTAAATGTTACCATCAACATGCTCATCTTTACAATGACATTTCAAAAATAATATTGTTGTGTCTTGGTTAAGAATGATAGTATGCTAATATATGCACTTTATTTACACTAAACATTCCATGATGGGAAGGCCATAGGTTTAGCAAATTCCTATTTATAAATTAAAAATATTGGACAAATCCAAATGTTGACCACTAAAATAAGAACTATTCTTTCTGAGGGGGGAGATCATTTAGATTTGAGATACAATCCATACAATAGTTGGTGAGATATGTCAGTCTGCACCAAAAGGCTGACTAATCAAACTCATTTCTTGTAGTATAAGAATTGTCTTTTTATTCGGGTCTTACTTTTGTGTGGCCTATACTCTAGTCCTGTCCAGTTTTTTCAGTACACTGTCCTCTTTTCACCTTCTTTTGTGTCCTAGCAGCAGCATCTCGGATTTGAGCTTCAAGCAGCTGTCGCATTTGTTTATAGAGCACACAATCTGAGTCAGTCTGACCTGAGCTGCCTGTCCCCCTGCCATCTATCCAGATCAATCCCGGCATTTTCAGGCAGCTAAGCAGCCATGGTGAAGTTAGGCAGCAATCTGTCTGATAAACTGGAGAAGCAGCCGTCTGCTGACGACGGATTTGATAACATCCCGCTGATCACACCCCTGGAGGTCAGCCAGCTCCAGAGGTCGTACGCAGACAGGGTAAGTAAGGCTTATTGGGTCAGTGTTTGTTTGTTTATGTGTATTTCTACGTATGTTTGTTTTCTCTCAAAGGCTCATTTCTGATTTGCATGCCGACCACAACAAACCCTTTACAGCTCACAGAAATAGCTAAGAGATTACAATTTAGAACTCCCCTGGACAAACACCATTAAAATTCATGTGGGCGTACTTACCTTCCAAGCATGAGCAAGCATCACAACACTGAGACTGCTGTATTTACCCTTCATAACGTACAGTACCAGGTTAAACCCTTGGCATCAGCCCATTCAAGTACCTCTTTGAATGCGTAATGCAAGAAGAAAGCCCTCGCGATTATATTTAAGTTTGACGATGCAGTCAGCAGCACCCAATCTTCCACAGGCTGATTAGATGTTGCTGAAACATTAACATAAAAAACACTTTGCAGCTCCCAGATGTATTTTTAAGGCATCAATTAAAGCAGGCTGCTTTTGCAAATCATGTTTGTGTATTTCTAGACATGCTAAATTGCCTTTTTAGTGGATACACAAACTGAACCAGCACTGAACACCGAGCACAACATCATCCATCATCAACCATAATGTGAAATTAAACACAGCTTACAAGTAGTTCTCAGTTTTGTTTCCACAGGAGTCACAGTAACAGTGGATTGTTTCTTCTGCAGGTCATTGTGAAGACATCAACACAATATCAGCTGCAGCAGAAGAAAAAGAACAAGCCTTACGTTCCCAATATCAAGAAGCTGAATATCAACTTCTACAGTGATGTTACAGAGAAAGCCAAGGTACCTACAACAGCCTGATGTTCTGATTAAAAGATAAGCCTGGCAATATTGTATGATTTCCAACAAGTCTCATGATAAGACCATGACCAACAATTGATGGATCACACCTACATGTATTCACTTTCCAAACACTGATGTTGTTTACTCCTCTGTACCATAGAGCTCCATTGTTGTCCAAATACGATTATGGTCACATGACAGCATAGAACTGACAGCATCTGGCAGGCTGACATAGTGAGTGCAATACACTACTAAACAGGACACAAAATAACCAACCTGTCGTGTTACCTTCTTGTCAGGGGAAGACAGTGTGTTGTTGGTTAGTTGTGCAGGGTAAGAACACACCATGATCCAACCTGATCGTAGTGACACATTTCAGGAATGTGCTGCAGCTGAGCGGATCAATAGCTAACTCTAACATGCAAACTGACCCCAGTGCACTTTCCCCCAATGACTTTCGATCTGTTCCCTTTTTGAACAAGCTAAGATCCAGGAAAAGTTGTGTGTCCATGATAGTAGGTTAGTTCATTGGGAAAATGTAACAGGACAGCTTTTACCTGTCCTCAGTAGGAAGGAACAGAGTGGTGGTCACAGACACAAAGCCAGGACGTGTTAGGAGACTACGCAGGTCTTTTTATGACATTTTCTGACAATAAAATATATTACCAACCCTATTCTTTAACTATTAATGACACTTGTTGCTAAACTGATGTCTATGCGTGTGTGTTGTTGCTCAGGTCACAGGTCTGATCCTCATCACTTTGGCCTTCCTGACCAGCTTGCTCCTCCTGCTCATGTACAAAGCTATGTGGTATGACCAACTTACCTGCCCAGAGGGATTCATCCTGAAGGTTTGCAACACACACACACACACACACACACACACACACACACACACACACACACACACACACACACACACACACACACACACACACACACCATGTATACATCACTTCAGGGGACATTACATTGACTTACATGCATTTCCTGGAGATTTATCCTAACCTTAACCATAACCAACACATGCCTAACCCTTAACCTAACCCTTACCCTAACCCTAATCCTAACCAAGTCTTCACCCTAAAATGAACGATTCCCCTCATGGGGACCTCCAATTTGTCCCCATAAGGGAGGCCAGTCCCCACACGTGACTATGTAAACAGATTTAGGTCCCCACAAGTATAGTAATGCTAGACCGACCATACACACACACACACACACACACACACACACACACACACACACACACACACACACACACACACACACACACACTGATGAGAACACATGACATTTAACACTGATTAGAATATGCCATTTTTTATTTCATGTTTATTGTCCTTGCAGAAATTAATTGTGCATAAACACACATTGTCCTTTATACACACCCACACTACACAAATATTAGTGGATTCATATGATTTAGGTAGAGAAAAAAATCTTAATGGCCATCATCATCCTGCAGTTTAGCACAGATGAGCAGAAGCATCTTCTGTAATATTCTTGTCCTCAGTTATTACAAACTTTGTATTTGATTATCCAGGCTGAAGTGGTCCGTGCGACTCCCACTCAAAGAGTCCTTACACAGTCTACAATGCAGCGGGTGCTTTGTTTCTCAGCACACCCTCTCCTCAGTCAATCAGAAAACTGGAGCTGGGAACTCAAACTCATTATCTCCAAACAACACCTTGGAGGCATCGTGTAGCGAGCCGCCGCTGCCACGCATGTTAGTTAAAGAGGCCGTCTCGCAGAGGAAAATGAGAGAGACAGAGGGAGCTTCAGAGCCAGCTTTCTGCTCAGGCAGAGATTGGGACGCCCGCCTGTGAATCGGAGGGGTCTTTAATTAGGGCTGAGCGTGACTAAACTGTGATTAAAGGCTTAACAGTGAGGGGGGCAGCAAGGAAGGGAAGGGGGAGGGGGGACCTTCCGGGCAAGGCTTTTGAAGTTTTTGTCGGTTACAGTTGCTTTCAGCATTTTTTCCTGCTAATGGGTTGTTGGAGACATAAGAGGAGCGAGGATCGAGGAAGGCGAAGTCTCTGCTGTGCTTTTGGGAAGGTTCGAGTCCTTGCTGAGAGGGAAGGTCAGGTAGTGGATCCTCAACGATGGAAACACTCATGAGGTCAAGTTATTCACACGCATTGTCTTGTACATAATCACCCACTTTAAAAACAAACAGGCCAGGCCCCAAAACTCTGAAATGACTTACCTGCTGACCTCAGGTTTGGTAAATTAGCTTTGAAATCTCTTCTCAAAACATTCCTCCTTAAAAAAGCTTTTATCTCTATAGGCAAATGTTTAAAGATACACAGGATGCTTTGTCCTCTAACGAAGGATTATCTGAGATGGACATGGCAACCTGTGATAACATTATTTTACATGAGGTATTTTAAACACCTCTAATCTGATTTGTAGGAAAATGTGCGGTGCATAAAAAACAACGAAAAAAACAACATTTGTTCTCATTTTTTTCCCCTGACAAAGAGTTGAGCCTTATAAATAAATGTGTCTTTTTTATTTATGTATATTCTACTGGGATAAACTTGTGTTGTTATGTTCAGCGCAGTGTGTCCCCTACGTGAAACCAACAAAGACGTGTTTGTGTTTCTGTTCCAACAGCAGAAGCACTGCACCCCGGCCGCTCTGGAGATGTACTACACTGAGCAGCAGCAGCAGCAGGAGGAGCCGGGGGTGCACGGCGGCGCTGGGCTGTATGCTGCGCTCAGCCACCTCAACCAGGTGAAGAGGACCGGACCTGAACTGCCATCGGCATGGTTACCAGTCCCCAGTGCCCTGAACGAGGCAGAGGTGACCAACCAACGCAGCGAGCTGCTGACAGGCGAGCAGGAGGGAGAGTAGTGAGGGGCGGACAGGTGTTACAGCAGGAAATGATGATGGGGAGGCAGCGTAGGTTATTTTTTGACCCTGTGTTTAGGATTTGTTTCTTTCCTCGTACAGACCATTAAATCAGTTGTTTATACTGGTGCTCCAAAACCTTTAGGTACAATAGCATGTTAGGGCCAAGTCAGAGATTTTACTAACAGTAATTAAGTTGTTAATTCAATAGAATATATATTTAGATTATAATGTCATCTATTTGAGTGAAGTAAATATACAACTTTATTCACTCAAAGATGTATCCACGTTTTTTTATTTTCTTTGTAAATGTATTTAAAGTAGGCCTATTACCCTTCTCACTGACTCCGTATTAGCCCTGATATGCCGTTGTACAAAGGTGTCTGTATAACAAATTAAAGTTCAACCATCAGCTATGTAAACCACACAGTTCCCCAGTTACTTTCTTTTAATACTCAATTCAAGCTAATACCCAACTGTGTGTGTGTGTGTGTGTGTGTGTGTGTGTGTGTGTGTGTGTGTGTGTGTGTGTGTGTGTGTGTGTGTGTGTGTGTGTGTGTGTGTGTGTGTGTGTGTGTGTGTGTGTGTGTGTGTGTGTGTGTGTGGCCTAGCATTACTATACTTGTGGGGACCTAAATCTGTTTACACAGTCACGTGTGGGGACTCACCTCCCTTATGGAGGTGAGTCCCCACACGTGACTCATAAGGGGAATCATTCATTTTAGGGTGAAGACTTGGTTAGGTTTAGGGTTAGGGTAAGGGTTAGGGTTAGGCATGTGTTAGTTATGGTTAAGGTTAGGATAAGTCTCCAGGAAATGCATGTAAGTCAATGTAATGTCCCCTGAAGTGATGTATACTTGGTATGTGTGTGTGTGTGTGCGCATGCGTGCGTGCGTAGGTGCGTGCGTGTGAGTGTGTGCGCTTGTGTGTGTGTGTGTGTTAGTGGTGAGTTGTTGTGGTTGGAGGCAGGAATGTTATTAAAGTGTTGGAGAATGTGCCTGACTTTTACAGTGTTACTGAGGCATGAGAAAATCTCAGACATCTGCATTCAGTGTGTGTGTATACCCTCGCGTTCATACTTCACATGGGCACATATACAGTATGTATCATCTTTATATATGTATTCATGTGTGTATGCGTAGGCTGTAGGATTTGTGGAGTTGTTGGAGGTGAGAGAAGCGAGGCAAGAGCTCAGAGTGAGAAGATAACACGTTTTTAATGACATACAGCGAGTTTCTCCCCATCACTGCGACTCGTTATCTCACACTATTCATTTCGTTTTAGAGGGGAACGTATGAAATCAGAATTGAATGTGCTCACAGGCAAGGAACTATAATTGACGATTTACATTTTCTGTCGAAATGAGTCAATTTTTCATCTTATCATCTGGAGATTGTAAATTGCAGTTCAGTGTGCATCTACAGTTGAAAACAGACTAAATGTATTTTAAATCGTTTTACACATTGGCTTTGGATAGTCTCAGAATAGTAAAAATCACCAACTACAACCTCCAATATGAGTATAAAGTGAATGAGCCTGAAAACTTTCTGTACAACTTTTCAATTGATAACTGTTATTATTCTACATGATTGTGTGAGCTACTTTCTGTTATAATGACAACAAATTGAGATATTTTTATGTAAAACTGAAATGACAGCATACTGGAAGATTATTGTAAAAACTGGAAAATTATTTGTTTTGTTACTAAATTGTGTTTTTGGTTAATGTTGCTGCCGCTGTAAATGAGCATGTACAGTTTACCCACAGGTTTGACTCGTCATGATCCTTATATGAATGTATGAAGCAGTGGCTCTAATCTTGCAATAGATGTAATTAGTGCTAATGATGTACTACCTAAAAACTTCAATTGTCTTCACATGTTTCTATTTATTCCATGAACAGTGTTATGTTGTTAGTTTTTTTCAATCCATTGTACATCCATTTATTTGTGTATCTCAAAATATTCTGACAAATCTTGTAATTTGTCCAAATGATCTTCTGTCACATGTTTGAACCTGCTTTCTCTCTTTCATTATTTTGGAGAAAAGTAAAACTCTTCGTGAGATCGCAGCACAGCTTGTTCTTTGGAGCTGAAGTGTCAAACGTTTGCATCAGCGCCATCTGCCCGAGTGTCACCGTCTGAACAGAAATAAAAGTAATTATTGATCCCTCTCATACACCAATAATATATTTTCTCAACTGTACTTGAGTACAACTTTGAGGTACTTAAATTCAATGCTTATATTTCAAGTTAGAACTAGTACTAAAGTAAAAGCAGTACCTGAATGTAGTAAAAAATCATAATGATGTAATATAGAGTAACTCAAATAGTGATACTGTAAGAATGTGTGCGGGTTGTAGTTACTGCGTACAGTACTTGAAGATACATAGGTCAAAATATCAAATATCATTTATTGTTGTATATTCAATAACATTGAATACAAATGTTTAAATCATCTACACCCCTATCAGCCACAGCAGTCAAATGCTGCTTACATATTAAAACATCAATAGAAATAATCAAACACTATAATATTTCTAAAAGACAGGGAATGAGTGAGGAAAATATTTGGATGAATAGGTACAAATTATTTCCAGTTGAATTAAAGCACACTTTCTTATTTTAAGATTGTATCTAAAGATATTATCAACTTTCTTCAAAAGTCATTCCTCACTTCAGCAGCTGAGGTGCACACAATTAATTCAATCTTATGAAACGATTCATTTGTACCTAATTAATTATGAACAAAGCACCCTTCTACAAAACTAACACAGAGTTGCAAATCACAATTAGCTGAGTATAATTAAACACTTCATTGTCAGTTATTCCCATATTTGTCCCTCCAACGCTCTCTACTAACGTTTGTATATGTATTGCTTTGTGTCTGACCGGGGGGCTGTTCTGCATAGGAATACATTTGAATTTTCACACTTACATTTTTCTTTTGAAAAAAATATAGATCTCCTTTTACAGTCTGTTGCTAAAAAATGCTCACTATGCATAGCATTCAAAATATGATTCCTTCCTCCTCAAATTTAAGTTTAGCAATTCAAAGCCAAGCCACATCCTCTCCCCCCCCTCTCTCTCTCTCTCTCTCTCTCTCTCTCTCTCTCTCTCTCTCTCTCTCTCTCTCTCTCTCTCTCTCTCCTCTCTCTCTCTCTCTCTCTCTCTCTCTCTCTCTCTCTCTCTCTCTCTCTCTCTCTCTCTCTCTCTCTCTCTCTCTCTCTCTCTCCACTGCTGTGAGCCTGTCTGCATCTCATTTACACTCACATATTTTCACACCATCTAAACCCAGGGATGTGTGGCTCAAATGTTGTGTGTGTGTGTTGCCTTGTTAGAACCGTGCCTGGTGCGTGTGACTCTGAAATCATTAACCTTCTGCTATGTATGTTTTTGCTATAGCATTATACTTTGTGTGTGTGTGTGTGTGCCCATGCTTAGCTTGTTAATTAAATCTACATTACGCCCTGTTTAGCCTGTAGGGTCTTTTTTCTCCCCTCTGTTGCTGGGTGACATACTTTAGGTGCTGCTGGCCTAGGGCATGGAACTAAATAAAGTGCTAAAACATATTTATTGGGGCATTTACAGATCCCATGCTTAGTCAAGGCATAACATGTTGTGCCAAAAAGGCTTAGATTCAGTGCCGGGGGAAAATCACGTAAAATCAGCCGAGTAGTCACGTAAAGGCCGCCAAGCCCCATTTTCCTGCTTTATAGCATCAACAGATCTGAACAGTAAAATAGCAGGTTGGCTTTTTAATTTGTCCTGACCGTTCAGAGCTCCCCCTTTCAACTCCTCCCTGAAGACTGCGAGGGAAGGCCTTGCCAAGAGTCATTTAGCTGTTAACATCACATTACTCCTAGACCTGATCTAACTTTCCTGAAGAGGACACACAAAGCTGTGTGGTGATCTTAAAACTGTTCTGTTCACCTGAAGCTGATCAGACTGGAGGCGTTATGATGCAGCTCGCTCCCGAGCACTTTCAGAATATCACTAAGAGTTGATATACAATAACAAGCTGAGTAGATTTGGATCAAAGGCAGAAGACGTTGACATGGAGAGCTTAACAAACAGTTCGAAGTGACATTTCTTTACTTTTACTCTTAATCTCTAATCCTTTTGGGAAATATGCTTATTTGCGTTCTAGCGGAGCATTACATGAGCAGAATGATACCACTCTTGTACATTAAAGGGGGCAAATTATGCTCTTTTTCAGTTTCATCATTTTTGGCAGGGGGTTTTTATAAGAACATGTTTACATGCATTTAAGCTATAAAAAAACACTTTGTTCGTACTCTCTATTTGTTAATACCTGTACTTATCCAAAGTCTGAAACGCTCTGTCTCTTTACGGCCCTTCGTAGAAGTCTGCTCTGATTGGTCACTGTTTCCGTGTCTTCCTTATCTGCACTTTTGCCATCCCAATTCCATCATTACCGGCAAATGTCTATAACGTCACTGTAGCAGAAATTAAAGTATATAACATATTTTTAAATTGTACTTTAAAAAACTTTTCTGTGTGTATTTCTAAGTTAATTAGACGTATTGATACCTTCACAGTATTGATATAAAACTTAGAGCTGCTTTATGATCAAAAACACATGAAAATCTAACTTTTTATTATATGGGACCTTTAAATATGAGTCAACCTAAAGACTTGAAATAGCATCATGTCAATAGAGAATGACATTCATATTGTCGTCTGACTCAATAAGAAAGTTAATTACGAATAGTTCCCATAATGTAGAGCTTTTGTTGGAAATGTAAAAGCTTTTAAACTTATAATTAAAAATATTTTAGTTTGCAATCACTAGATACATTTTCATTCTCTGAAATGATGTCACTGTAGAATTATATTCTCTGTATTATGTTTTTTTTTTTTAAATGCAGCTGCAAATTCCCAGGGTTTATTCCAGCTCTGGGACCTTTGACCCTCTCTCCCTCTCAATTCTACACTGTCCACTGTCATAAAGAAGAAAATGGCTCAAAAAGGTGATCTTACACTTCACTATAAAGTATATTGATAACTGTGTCTTTTTCTTCACGCTCACACAAAGACCCTTTTTAATCCTAAATTGCCATTAAAGCATTTTTAAGTGTATCATGCCATTAAAGTGTAAGTTTGATAAATAGGAGAAAAAGGAACAGCAGAGAGATGGAAGGAAGGAAAACCAAAAGAAAAGATGAACAAGAGAGAAAGAGCAGACGAGAGGCGGCCAGGCCTGGGAAGAGAAGGCGGGGGGTGAGGGGGTTTTGGGTAGAAGAAGAGGAGGCGGTGGAGGCCAAGAGGCACGGAGGTGGAGGAGGGTGAATCCAGGCTGACCCCTGTGTCTGTGTGTGTTGTTGTGTGTCTCAGTGGGTTTCCTCTGCCCTGGCGCCAGCTGGAAATGCCTCCACTAAGCAGAGGCAGTACACACATCATCCTCC